CAATATAAAAAATAAAAAAATTATTTAGTTTCGATTCTTATTCGGTTCTTCGGTTCTTGGTCTAGACCCGAGACCCGACCCAAACTCATCGGTTCTCGATTCGGGTACCCGTTCGGGTATTTAATTTATGAAGAAACCACTCGGTTCGATTCGATCCGGTTCGGTTCGGGACTTTTGGATACCCTTAATATTGGGGTTCTCCCTGTTGGTGGTTGGAACAATGCGAGCAAAGCCTGGTTTAAAACAGATGAAGGGATGTGAGTCTAAATAGGGGAAAGTTATCTATTTTGAGAGTAAAAGGGGTTATTTTTAAACTATTAACTTACAACAGAAAAATATATTTTTGAGAACATACTTATAATAAATATCTAAGCTTAAATAGACCAATGTTGAAATAATATTGATTGGCGGAAATGAATGCCGTGGAAAATGTTCACTCTCACCAAGTATTGGAATTAATAGTCTTGACAATCTCATTGTCTTTGTCAAATCGAATATGATAGGTTTCTAACTTCGAAGAGTCCCTTGTCATTTTTTTTGTTCATTGTACATGTTCACATATTTCCGCTTCGCTTCAAAATATTAAAGTAGGTACTTCACCTTGAAAATGAGATATTCCAATCACAAAGTCTAGACATAAGCCCAATAATACGCTGTGGATCCCAATCTCGAACAAACACGTAACATCTATAATTGTCCAAGTGCAACAAGAAATTTGGAACGATTTCGCACTAGAACAATGCTCTTGGAGCATATTGCAAAGACTTGCATGTGCATTAATTGATGACTTCACTACTAACCATTGACACCATGCCTCATGTTCTTCATTTAAACTAGTGATCAACTCAATACAATGTTAGATCATCGGTTAAAGAAAAAGGAAATTCAAACTATACACGATGAGGCGTCCATACACATTAGAAGGTGATGAAAACAATAAAAAAATTAATATAAAGTAGACAAATCAATTTTAGGCGTTCGATAGTGTAACTATATTTCTAGAAGTTAATATTAAAAAAACACACTTTAACTATGTGTTTTTTTATTGGAATTTTTGCTGGCAAATGTGAATGTTAATACTGAATACTGAATTCCCAGTCTTTGCAAATGATGTAATTAGGGGTAGGCAAAATCCGACCAAATCCGTCAAAACCGAACCAACCCGACCGGTTTGTGTCGATTTTGTTGTTATTTTT